TTTGTGTTGGAGTGGTTTGGGATTTTTTTTATAAAAAATGTATGAAAGAGGGGAAGGTTTCCTAGGGGTTTGGCAGGGGGGGTTTTTAGTTCCCCTTTTTATAAATGGAAGGGGACAAAACAGATTGTAAAAATTTAAGGGGAAAAAGTTGTGATTAAAGTATAGGTTTTGGAGACAGCAACCCCCCAGGGAGGGACTACCTCCCTCCAATAATTAAAACAAAGCCTGAATTGTTTTTAATTTTATTAATTCTGGTGTTTTTTTGTCCTAAATAGAAGTTTTTAGGACTTTTATTCTACTTACCCCAGGGCCACTAAATAATGTACAAAATATATTTCACACCCCTTGGGTTTTCTTCTATTTTCTTTTTTATTCTTATTCTTGTTTATTTCCCCTTATCCCCCCCGGGGAATTGGAATAAAAATTTCCCCCGTAACCTGCGTTTGGAAAAGGGAACTAAAATGCGGGCAAGGGGGTGTAACCTCTTCTCCTGTATATATTACTAAATTTAGAAGGAGAAACTTTTGTTTTTTCCTTTTGGGCCACCCCGCCTCGGTGGGATACGGTTGGTGCGTTGAAAGAAGAAAGAAGTTTGCTGAGTTAAAGATACTAGGTTGGTAGACAGCAACCACCCAGGGAGGTACTACCGTCCTGCCAAGTGAGTGTAAAACGAAAGCCTGTGATTGTTTTACATGATGGTAGGATCGCTGGTGTCTTTTGTCTGTCTCATAAATATGCAAGATTACAGGTACGTCTTGCTACTTCTACTTACATTTAGGTCACACAACACATGCATGTACAAGCACATAGTATATAAACACCCCTCTGGGTTTCTATTTTCTTACTAGTTCTTGTTTATTTCCTCTTACCTCCATGGGTAAGTGGAACAGAATTCTTCCTCCGTAAGCCATGCGTGTTGTAAGAGGCGACTAAAATGCCGGGAGCAAGGGGCTAGTAACCCCTTCTCCTGTATATATTACTAAATGTACAATTAGAAACTTTCGTTTTTCCTTTTGGGCCACCCCGCCTCGGTGGGATACGGTTGGTGCGTTGAAAGAAGAAAGAAGTTTACTGAGTTAAAGGTAGTAGGTTGGTAGACAGCAACCGCCCAGGGAGGTACTACCGTCCTGCCAAGTGAGTGTAAAACGAAAGCCTGTAATTATTTTACATGATGGTAGGATCGCTGGTGTCTTTTGTCTGTCTCATAAATATGCAAGATTAAAGGTACGTCTTGCTACTTCTACTTACACTTAGGTCACACTACACATACGTGTACAAGCATATATGTACAGTGGACCCCCGGTTAACGATATTTTTTCACTCCAGAAGTATGTTCAGGTGGCAGTACTGACCGAATTTGTTCCCATAAGGAATATTGTGAAGTAGATTAGTCCATTTCAGATCCCCAAACATACACGTACATACGCACTTGCATAAATACACTTACATAATTGGTCGCATTCGGAGGTAATCGTTATGCGGGGGTCCACTGTATATACACACCCCTCTGGGTTTTCTGCTATTTTATTTCTAGTTCTTGTTCTTGTTTATTTCCTCTTACCTCCATGGGGAAGTGGAACAGAATTCTTCCTCTGTAAGCCATGCATGTTGTAAGAGGCGACTAAAATGCCAGGAGCAAGGGGCTAGTAACCCCTTCTCCTGTATATATTACTAAATGTACAAGGAGAAACTTTTGTTTTTCCTTTTGGTCCACCCCGCCTCGGTGGGATACGGCTGGTGTGTTGAAAGAAAGAAAGAAGTTTACTGAGTATACTAGGAAAAGTGTATGGTAGGGTTATTATTGAAAGAATTAGAGGTAAGACAGAATGTAGGATTGTGGATGAGCAAGGAGGTTTTAGAGTGGGTAGGGGATGTGTAGATCAAGTGTTTACATTGAAGCTTATATGTGAACAGTATTTGGATAAAGGTAGGGAAGTTTTCATTTCATTTATGGATTTAGAAAAGGCATATGATAGTGGATAGGGGAGCAATGTGGCAGATGTTGCAGATGGTTAGGGTGTGTAGAGGAGAGGGAGACTACTTCCCGGTAAAAGTAGGTCTTAGACAGGGATGTGTAATGTCACCATGGTTGTTTAATATATTTATAGATGGGGTTGTAAAAGAAGTAAATGCTAGGGTATTGGGGAGAGGGGTGGGATTAAATTATGGGGAATCAGATACAAAATGGGAATTGACACAGTTACTTTTTGCTGATGATACTTTGCTTATGGGAGATTCTAAAGAAAAGTTGCAAAGGTTAGTGGACGAGTTTGGGAGGGTGTGTAAAGGTAGAAAGTTGAAAGTGAACATAGAAAAGAGTAAGGTGATGAAGGTATCAAATGATTTAGATAAAGAAAAATTGGATATCACATTGGAGAGAGGGAGTGTGGAAGAAGTGAATGTTTTCAGATATGTATTTGGGAGTTGACGTGTCAGTGGATGGGTTTATGAAGGATGAGGTTAACCATAGAATTGATGAGGGAAAAAAGGTGAGTGGTGCATTGAGGTATATGTGGAGACAAAAAACATTATCCATAGAAGCAAAGAAGGGAATGTACGAAAGTATAGTGGTACCAGCACTCTTATGTGGGTGTGAAGCTTGGGTTGCAAATGCTGCAGCAAGGAGGTGGCTGGAGGCAGTGGAAATGTACTGTCTAAGAGCAATGTGTGGTGTAAATATTATGCAGAGAATTTGGAGTATGGAAATTAGGAGGAGGTGTGGAGTTGCTAAAAGTATTAGTCAGAGAGCTGAAGAAGGGTTGTTGAGGTGGTTTGGTCATTTAGAGAGAATGAATCAAAGTAGAATGACTTAGAGAGTGAATAAATCTGTAGGTGAAAGAAGGCTGGGTAGGGGTCATCCTAGTGGAGGTTGGAGGGAGGGGATGAAGGAGGTTTTGTGGGCGAGGGACTTGGACTTCCAGCAAGCGTCCGTGAGCGTGTTAGATAAGAGTGAATGGAGACAAATGGTTTTTTGGACCTGACGAGCTATTGGAGCATGAAGAGGAAAATATTTTGTGAAGGGATTCAGGGAAACCAGTTAGCTTTACTTGAGTCTTGGAGGTGGGAAGTACAGTGCCTGCAATTTAAAGGAGGGGTTTGGGATGTTGGCTGTTTGGAGTGACATCTGAACTGTCATATCTGGGCGCATCTGCAAAGACAGTGATTTTGTGTGAGTGATGGTAAAAGTGTTTTTTTTTTTTTTTTTGAGTCGCCTGCCCTGGTGGGAGGTGACCATCATGTTGAAAAAATAATGATAATGATAGTTGGTTCCCTGAATAATGGTCTGACTTTAGTTGTGACACTTACTTTGGCCAGCAAATTACCTTATGGTCTTGAGGGTAAGAAAACAGCTTTACTCTGGCCAGCATCGCCACACTTATGCTTCACTTTGGCCAGCATCACTATACTTATGCTCCATACAAATGCACTATGACTCTATGGAACCCAGGACTAGTGCACTGTAGCACGTAGCACAAACACTTGATATTTATCACTGTCACTCTTGGAACCTCAAATATTTAATATCTATCTTTTCTGTAATACTATCAGTTTTGTGATGCCTGTCAGGTCTGTGATCTGTCAGACCTGTGACATATATACTTAGTAAGATGTTGGTAGTAACACCACTGGGGAGTCAGCCTTCTGTCATGGTGCTCTGTTAGTGAACACAAGCCATGAGGGGCAACTGAACACTTGAACAATAAAGAATACATTCATGGTGTAATGGTAGGAAGTGAGCAAGGTGTAGCTACCCCTCGAATTAAAACCAAACAATTTTTTACATCAAAATTGTGTTTTTGTTTTCCTAAAGCTTTATGCAGTTCATCTGTTAACCCTTTGACTGTCGCGGCCGTATATATACGTCTTACGAGGTACCGTGTTTGACGTATATATACTCATAAATTCTAGCGGCTTCAAATCAAGCAGGAGAAAGCTGGTAGGCCCACATGTGAGAGAATGGGTCTGTGTGGTCAGTGTGCACCATATAAAAAAAATCCTGGAGCATGCAGTGCATAATGAGAAAAAAAAATCTCCGACCGTTTTTTTAATTAAAATGCCGTCTTTGTGGTCTATTTTCGTATAGTATTTATGGTTGTATTCTCGTTTTCTTGGTCTCATTTGATAGAATGGAAAACATATTATAGAAATAGAGGTGATTTTGATTGATTTTACTATAAAAAGAACCTAGAAATGGAGCTCAAAGTAGAGGAAATGTTTGATTTTTGCCAATGTTCAAAAGTAAACAAATGATGCCATTGTCCAATAAATGTCCAACTAGCCATTCTAATATGCAGTCATGAATGGGTTGATGTTATTTATACAATTATTACAGTATTGCAGTAGTCTGCATAATAGTAAGTCTTCTATTTTTTGTTTGAATAAAAATTCAAAATAGAAAGCAAGACTAATATCAGAGGGGCTTGGAGACATGACTGATGAACAAATAAAATGTTATTTTAGAGCCAGGAATGTCTGCATTGTTCATTCTGGACCTTATTTTGAAATTGTCATATTTTTTAGTTTTCGTGAAATTGGCCAAATTGCAAATTTCTGACCACATTATTAGGTAGTTGAAATCGGTAAATGGGCAGTTTCTTGTACTCAATCGATAGCAAAAATGGAGTTCTAAAGAAATAGTTACGCGTTTGGGCGACTGGAACAATGGAATTAGCGGAAAATAGGGCTCAAAGTGGGTGAAATCGCCGATTTGTAAACAGCGCCGAGGTTGCTAACTTTGCGAGAGCATAATTCCGTCAGTTTTCCATCAAATTTCGTATTTTTGGTGTCATTACAATCGGGAAAAGATTCTCTGTCATTTCATAAGAAATTTTTTTTTTTTTTTTTTTTTTAAATTTTGCGACACCAGGAGACACCTCAGGATTGGGGGTTGCGACAGTCAAAGGGTTAAAGAAAATTATGTTAGTAATAAGGGAATATTTTATTGATGTACTATATTTAATCTAATAAAAATACAAAATATATTTTTCTTAATTTTTCAGTATTTTGCTCATTTGTGTGGGACAAGAAGTTCTCAAGGCTATCAGAAAAATGCAACCAAGTAAGTATTTACACCCACTTTATCGTTAAATTTCCACCATTACTTTTTATTGATGTAATTATTGGTCTATGATCTCTAGCTGTGCCAGTGCCTCTGTCGAGGCCAAACTGTGATAGTGTACTGATGATAAGCGCTGCTAGGCATATAGTCACCTTGTTACATCGACTGCTGTATGTGCTCTTCCCTGTGTGAGTTAAATGTTTGTGGAGGGAGGAGGCACTACATTATTATTAACATGATTCTCTCAATATTATTATTTGCTTTCAACTTTTATATCTGGTATCTATACAATAGGTGCCCCACTTACAACATTTCTGTTAAAAATTCTTTGAAAGTTGATTGTTCAGAACTCAGAACTTATTTTCCCATAGAAACTCATGCTTTAATAATAGTAAAAGCAAGAAAATTCATTCTGTATAATCTAAAATTCAGTCATGTGTCATCTGGCCACTTAAATTAACAACCAATTATAGATTTTTCTTCAAAATATTCTTCTTGAATTTCCCATTCCCAAGTCTCTTTCTTTCTTTTAAATCTTCCTTATGAAAGTTAATATAAACAAGTTTAGAGTGATATTTGAAGAGATGTTAAAAACAGCAAAAGTAGCAACCCCACATATTGGAGGAGTGAGTCTGAAGTCATAAATTGGTTCAGAGTTGCCAACGTCTTTAAAGTTGGAACATCGTAAGTTGCTGACCTATTGTATATTGTTATTACAAAAGTAAAGCATTCGTGAAAGAATATTTTGTTGGCTATATAAATTAACTTTTGGTTATTGTCTCAGTTTACAGTTATTAAACCAAGATGTGAAATTTTCTTTGTATGGTGTTGAGTTCTGTTATTGGGTCTTCAACAGTGAGAGGTGGCAGACAGGTAGTAATCTTATTGTTTGGGTAAGATAATATGACTGCCTCTTGTGTAGGATACGGCAGGAACGATGAGGATAGATATATATTCACAAGTTTAACACTTCAAGAGGGGAATGGGGGTTGTCTTCATGTTAGTGAGGGGCTTTTGATCCAAGGAATTGTAACTATTCTTGGATCAGAGCTGATTACTTATCATTGCCCAGGTGCTGAATGACTCCCTGTGGCTTTAGTGCTTACCATGAGCATAATAAAGATGAGGATAAATGCAGTGATAAATAAGGTCTAGATTTTTAATGGTTACTAATATTCCTGATATAAAGCACAAGGTGAGCTGTCACACTATATTTTTATTCTATAGGTCTTCTCCCTTTGTCTTATGGAATGACTTGTGCAGTCTTCTCCATGTTTCCTCCTTGTAAACTCTACCTCACAGTGGTGTTCTTTCTAACTTGTTTCTTCTGTGTTCTTTACATTTATGCATTCTCATTGTTATCTATTTTATTGCTACCATATCACCCATAATTCCTTCTTTGACTGTATTTTTTTTATTTTTTTCAACAAACCAGCCGTATCTCACTGAGACAGGCTCAGTGTAATTATATTTCCCAAAATACGAGCACCTGAATTTTTTTGTTTTTGTAAAACTTTCAATTTCTTATATATTTTACGAGTTTTCCTCTTGCATTCCATCCTTTTTGCTATTTTCAGATGTTACTCATATTCTCATATTAGACCATAAGTTTTTTCTTTCTTGTTAATTTGTAAATAAAAAACAATTATAGTAAGCCATTGATTGAAAGGAGCTTTATTTAATCGATTTTGGAAATTTGAGAAAATCCATTGCATCATTTGATTTGGAAACAATAGATAAAGTCAGTCACTTACAGAATTGTCCATTATTGTTACAACCATAGCAAAATAATCTTGTCTCTGTACTCGAAAATTGCCATTACCAGTCATCTGCTCCTCTCCCTTTTGGGCCATTAAATTGATAGTTTACAATATATGAGAAAATTATGTTAACCTGGACAAGTTTACAATATATGAGAAGATTATGTTAACCTGGACATACTCTATTCTCTTGTATTTGTAAATCTTTAATACTTTCTCATCCATCTCCAAAAATGAAGGGAAGAAGTGAAAGTCTTGGGTATAGCAGTGTTAGATGATCTATGAGTGAGCAAAATGACAGGATAGATAAAGAGAACCTTGTAAACAAGAGAATAATTCCAATGGTGACAATATTTAAATTATTTGTGCTATCTTGTTGAGAATATTGTTGGTGTTGACAGCTTTGTTCAAGGCAAGAGGGAGATCAGAGCTGGCCACTTCCTGGGAATGCCTCAGAGTGCTTTTAGTGCACTCTGTGGAGCAAAAGGGAAAGATACCTGATTAAATATATATATGGAAAATACCTGAAGGCTTATTCCCAAATTGACACTGCTGTAACATGCCAGAGGGAAAGATATGGGAGGAAGTGTAAAATCAACCTAGTGAAAAGCAGGGATGCAATGGCCACAATAAAAGGACAATGTGTCTATGGCTCAAGACTGTTCAACCTTCTGCCAGCTGATACAGTATAAGAAATATTACTGAATAAGTGAAAAAGTCTTCAGTAGGAAACTGGGTCATTATCTCCACCAAATGCCATATCAACTAGGCAGTGATGGCTATGTGGACCAGCAGGCTGGTAACTGCAACAGCCTAATTGAAGAAGCAATCAACAATAAAGCCTGTCTCCAGGCCAGATTGCAGGGGTAAATAAACTCAAAACTGGTAACGGGTATTTCACAGACAAACCCTCATACAGCATTTTCATTAGTTTAAGTGCATTTCCTTAGTATTTAATTTTAGTCCTCATCCTTATTAAAATGTGAAATATTTTTTTGTACTTGTTCTTTCACAAATGCGTCTTGTTCACTAATCTTTGTGCATCTTATTTTGGCAGTGCTGTACTCTCACTTGCTGCACCTCTTATTATGCCTTTAATCAAGATAATAAATGAATACTTCACTAATGAGGTATTTCAACATTTCTTCTCTCACATGATAAAATAAGGTCTCACTAGTAAGGTTTATCAACATTTCTTCTCTCACATGATAAAATGATGTCTCACTAGTAAGGTATATCATTGTTTCTTCCCTCACATAATAAAAATAATCTCTCACTAGTGGTGAGAGGCAGAGTTGCAAAGATGAACTTTGTTCCAGCATTTTGCCTGTGGACAGGCTTCTTCAGTCAATATGCCAGAATGTACAACAAGGAAGTTTATTCAATCATAATCCGGTACATGATCAGTGAGGTCACTGTGCGAGGTAAATTGCCCGATGGGAGCACTGCAGGAGGCCAGCTGGTCTTCTGGAAGACCTGTTTATGTAAAATGAATTATGCTACAGGTTTGTCTAAACTAAAGTATCTTTATTTTGCTAGATTGTATTTTGTGTTTTGATTAGCACAGCTTCCAGGCAGATGCATTGTGTTTTGTCCATTTTTTTTTTATAACCAGCTGGGTGTCCTTCCAAGACTTCAGGTGTATAATCTGGTTCCTATGTGTAGCATAAATGTTTTTCATGTTGCAAGTCCTGCAGGCTTGCTGGTGTTCTTTCAACCTGATCTGTAGGTTATGAGAGGTGTCTTCATGTATTTCTGGTCACATGGAACGATGTACACACCTGCATAGTCATGGTCCTGGATGCTATCTTTTGGCTTTGATGGTGCTAGATATGATAGTGGCAATACATATGTTGCTCTTGGTGAGGGGTAGGTGTAATGTATCCCAAAATGTGACCTTTAGGAAAGACTAGTCTTCTGTTTGTGCTATTCTATGGTTTTGGTAATGGGAAGATTTTGTATGCACAACAAGGAAGTAGGCTGGTAGACAGCAATCACCCAGGGAGGTACTACTGCCCTACCAAATGAGTGTGAAACACAAGCCTGTAATTGTTTTACATGATGGTAGGATTGCTGGTGTCTTTTTTTTTTTTCTGGCTCATACACATGCAAGATTTCAGGTACGTCTTGCTACTTCTACTTAAACTTAGGTCAGACTACACATACATGTACAAGCATATATATACACACACCCCTTTGGGTTTTCTTCTATTTTCTTTATAGCTCTTGTTCTTGTTTATTTCCTCTTACCTCCATGGGGAAGTGGAACAGAATTCTTCCTCCGTAAGCCATGTGTGTTGTAAGAGGCGACTAAAATGCCGGGAGCAAGGGGCTAGTAACCCCTTCTCCTGTATATATTACTAAATGTAAAAGGAGAAACTTTCGTTTTTCCTTTTGGGCCACCCCCCACCTCGGTGGGATACAGCCGGTGTGTTGAAAGAAAGAAAGGATTGCTGGTGTCTTTTTCTGTCTCATAACATGCAAGGTTGTGGGTATGTCTTGCTACTTCTACTTACACTTAGGTCACACTACACATGCATGTACAAGCATACATACAGTGCTTGTCACGGCATTATGCCGTGGTCGTGGGTAAGAGAAAATAGAGCTTTTGAGAGGCTAACTGCACTAGATCACTAGTGCAGCGCTATATGAATATCTTGGAAGTAAGTTATTGACTTACTTCATGAAGCCCACCATTTATTATTGAAGTAAGGGGACAAAAGAGACTAAAAATTATAGAGGAATAAGCTTACTGAGTATACCAGGAAAAGTGTACGGTAGGGTTATAATTGAAAGAATTAGAGGTAAGACAGAATGTAGGATTGCGGATGAGCAAGGAGGTTTCAGAGTGGGTAGGGGATGTGTAGATCAGGTGTTTACATTGAAGCATGTATGTGAACAGTATTTAGATAAAGATAGGGAAGTTTTTATTGCATTTATGGATTTAGAAAAGGCATATGATAGAGTGGATAGAGGAGCAATGTGGCAGATGTTGCAAGTATATGGAATAGGTGGTAAGTTATTAAATGCTGTAAAGAGTTTTTATGAGGATAGTGAGGCTCAGGTTAGGGTGTGTAGAAGAGAGGGGAGACTACTTCCCGGTAAAAGTAGGTCTTAGACAGGGATGTGTAATGTCACCATGGTTGTTTAATATATTTATAGATGGGGTTGTAAAGGAAGTAAATGCAAGGGTGTTTGGGAGAGGGGTGGGATTAAATTATGGGGAATCAAATTCAAAAT